GTAGTGGTCAAAGCCCAACCATTTTGAGTTTCTAGAAAGGCATGTAAATGTATTACGAACGAAGATATTACTTTCTCCGTTCCAAAATATAAAAACGTTTTTGACACTTTATATTTTGGGACGGAGGGATTAGTTGTTTACTTCAAATGAAACACAATTACGAAAGAAAATTAAGAGGAAGAAACGGACACGTATTGCAGTACCCTATATTTTCAGGGACGTGTCTAGCGAGCAGCCGTGCGCTCGCTAGCGGTCCCGAGCGGCCTCCTATATATGGTAAGTTTCTGTCCCCATCTAATCCCAAAAAGGAAAAGAAGGGAAAGGACAACCCCTACTATACAAAAAACATCAGGTCCCAGCGCCCACTTCAGTCCTGAACTCACATGATTTTCCCCTCTTCCCTTTCTCTTCCTTTGACCTGGTCTCACCAATCACATGACGCGCACCAACCCATCTCCTACTGCTTCGCTCACCATCTTTCCCACGAAAAAACAGTCAGGAACACGCCATGGGAGCCTTCCCTATCTATAGAGTTGTCATGGAAGATCTGTCAAGGTGAAGACCAAGAAGATCTGATCTATGCAGTTTTTGCAGGGGAAAAGAGAAGGAAAACTTGAAAAAGCAAGGTGACATGTTTCTCTTCTTCACCTTGAATTCAACTTCTCCAATCCTGCTTCATGCTGACTACAACTGATCCGAAAATAGTTCATCCAAACTTGTGCAAAAAACACACATAAAACCCCAGGAACACACAAACATTGAATTGCATATTGTGAAACTTTTGTTTTGGCTGCGGACCAACAATTTCAGGTAACCCAGCCAACTTTTATTTCATATTGTGCAACTCACACAGAGACACTGGAAACAAATGAACATCCTGCTGGGTCATATGTTGGTTTGTTGCACATAGTCTACTAGATAGATCTACAATGCAGTAATGTTTTAGTTCAAAAGGCAAACAATGGCTAAAAGAACTAAAAAAAGACAGAGTAGCAGATTGCTTCTTGGTGATCACTTCTTCTGTGCAAAATTTTCTTGTTAGAAGCTCATCCATCCAGCTCCTGGCTGGCAGACAAAAACAAAACAAAAAGATGTGCTAGTGCTTGTAAGATTGTTGAGGAATGATAAAACAAAAACTTCATGAGAAGACATGGGACCCCATGTTGTATGTCATCTTGGCCAAAATTGAAAGAATCCCCTGTGTGAAACTATGAAAAATGTATGTGGCGGCAAGCCTGACAACATATTGGAATTAGATAGGTTTGTGGTGTGCAGCTTACGGCTCGCTTATGTCAACTTAAAAAAGAATGTGCAACTGGCATAAGTAGTTTGGATTTTTTTTACTTGAATAAAAGTACTTTCTGATTTGTGTCTATTGTGTGCAACTGGAATAGAAAATGTGTGAAAAGCTTGAAAACAGAAAAAATACAATAAAACAGCAAGAAACAGTGCCCATCTTGTGTGTTATTTGTTCAACTTGTGGATGCATCTGTGCAACTGATTAGACCCATGTGTGCATACGAGAGAATTTACTTGGATGTTTAGTTTGATAAAAAAGTGCAACTGATTAGACTCATACTGATTTGTTTATTTGTTTCCTCTTCCACTACATTTGAGAGAAAAAGTCATAAGTATTTGTGCAACTACCATGGGTTGTTGTGCCACACTGGTATGCCTAGTTGTGCAACTGCCATAACAAACATGTGCGAGTAAAAAGATGGGAGATGTATTCAAAAACACAAAGAAGGGAAGCAAAAAGGGTCTACTCACTTGTAGCTTGCCAAACACACCACACGCCTTCAAGTCCATCTGAATGACTATGACGATTAAATTGCTATCCCATACCATTGCTTGGATGGGGGAAATTACTTACATGCATGTCTAATTCAAATAATTAGGACATGAAACCTTTTAGGTCTGTCTAACTGGAATAGTGAATTTTAAAATATGACAACTAGTATCAAATTCATGTGCAACTATGCCTTATATGGATGCCAACTACTATAAGGTTCATGTGCAACTATGAACTGTAGGGGTTCCAACTTGAATCAGTTTCGTGTATGAAAGAAACTTACATGATATTTGGAGCCAACTGCTATGAGGTTCCTGTGCAACTACAACAGCTAGAGATGCCAACAAAAAAATATGACTATGGAAAAACAAGATAATTAAACTGCCAACTAAGTATGGCCATATTGTGCAACTTCCTCATGCTCATATCCAACTAGGAATACTAAAATGGCCAACTAGTACTACAAAAATGACCAAACTGAATAAATTGCAGGAACTGAAATTGGATGTTATGCGTCTCTCTTACCGATGTCCTGCTATTTCAAGCACTAGTTATGCAAACCTACTGCTGATACATAATCATGTACAGAAAAAATGGGTAAAGAAATCAAAATATTAGCAATGGTTTGTGTGAATTACCCACAAACAGCCTCTGTATGAACCTTCTATATAATTTAACTACAATCACTAGAGGAATTTAGATACAGCCATGAAAAAACGAGAACAAAATCATGTAGCATACAACAAAATGCAAAAACTCATCATCGGCAGCAGGCGTATCATATAATCGGCAAAATGCCATTGATTATTCAATTAACAACGAGAGAAAACCAAGTACGCAACTAAAAAAAGTGTGTGCAATTTGACAGCAATGCAAGCCAACTGAGCATGTGCAAAAAATACACCTCATACGAAACATGCTTTGTGCAGTGTAGTCGACTTCCTAGAGGTTCATGTGCAACTACAGAACCTGACTCGCCAACTATGTACTACTCTGAGTGAAACTTCACCAGACATCTCTGAAAAAACAACTAAAATTGGACACCTAAAGCAAAACGACTAGCCACACATTCAATCCCCTGACGACTAGCACTTCGCCGGAGTCCCGTGCAAACAGAGAAATGAAGCATTGCCCACCCCCTGTGACCCACTCCTGCCGCAACCCCGAGCAACTGTTGTCGCCGGCGCCGTGCACGGTTCCTCACAGTCGTCGCCACGCGAAGCATCAACTCTGCATCCTCCCACCACCCCCTCTGCATCCTACCGCAGTGCGCACAACAACTCTGCATCCTCATGCCGCGCCAACTGAGCATATGTTTGGGCAACTAGTCCTGCCAACTAAACATCAATGTGTGTGCAACTAGACTACATTGCTGGCCAACTAAACATATGTGTGTGCAACCAGTCCTGCCAACTAAACATCAATGTGTGTGTAACTAGACTACATTGCATGCCAACTGAGAATGTGTGTGTGCAATTAGTCCTGCCAACTTAAACATCAATGTGTGTGTAACTAGACTACATTGCATGCCAACTGAGGATGTGTGTGTGCAATTAGTCCTGCCAACTTAAACATCAATGTGTGTGTGTGTGTGTGCAACTAGACTACATTGCAGGCCAACTGAGCATACATGTGTGCAACTATTCCTGCCAACTAAACATCAATGTGTGTGCAAGTAGACTATATTACAGGCCAACTGAGCATATGTGTGTGCAAGAACACCCCAGAGTGCATGAACATGCTTTTATGCAAATGTAGTCAACTTCCCTGCTGTTCTTGTGCAACTATATAATCTAACTAGCCAACTATGTAATGCTCTCCGTGCAGCTACCTAGATCTGTCGAGTAAATACATAGGGGAGAGGGTGTCGGAAACCGCAGATGCGGACGCGAAACGCCAGATTTGGGTCCTAGGTTGTCCTCCATGTAGGAGCTCGGAGGCATGACGCCAAAAGCCCATGTTATCTAAAGAAGCTGAAAATGAGACAACCGCAAGTACATCGAAAGAGCCTGAACCCTTGAGGAGTCGTTGGTAATCCAGAACACTGAACCTAGATCATATGGTAAACCTGCACTTATACTTATAACAAACAGGAGACATCTGTAGTCCTCTCGCGGTAATTGCTATGAGCATATCTACTCACCTACGGTCATCCCAAAACCAAACTTCTAGTTCTTTTTTGAAGTCAATCTGTGTCACAAACTACAAGTTCAGAAGATGGTAATCCAAAAATATCAGGACATTCATTGCTGGGAGGAAACATTCTTATCAGAACAGTCATATACTACAACTCATATTTAATCGGAGCTGCTCATACCTCTGCTCCCCCAAGTACGCAGCAACGGCACCTAGACAACACTGTAATCGGCCGTCGGCGTAGGGGACCAAGGGAAACAGGCCCTCCCGGGTGCGGCGTGCGTCGCTAGGAGGAGGCAGCAGGAGGGGGACGGCCGGGCCCGTGCTAGGCGCGACGCGCGTCGCCGGGAGCAGGCAACTGGAGGAGGAGGCCGGGGGTGTACTTGGCGCAGCGCGTGGCGCAGGAAGGCGGCTGGAGGAGCGCGACGGCCGAGCGCATAGCCGGGAGGAGGAGCGCGGTGGCCCTTCCCCATCGGGGCGGCGGCGGCTGGGCGACCCCTGCTCCAACTCATAGAAAGAGGAGGGAGGAGGCGGTGGCGCTGCTGGTCTAGCTCCCCGGCTTGATCTGCTCTCCAGGCTTGTCCGGCCCGCCGCTCACCTCGACCTCCCGGGCTCCTGCTTCACGGGATTTGATGGACGAGGAAAAGAGGATAAGGGAAGGCTTTTTTTCTCCGAGAGAAAGTAGCGAGGCGAGGATAGTGCGTGGGCTCCGACAAGATAACACCTGCCCTGCGGGCCGAAGGATTCGACGCATCGAGCGGTCTCGGTGCGGCCGCTCGGCTCGACCAAATAGTGGCCGGCCGCTTTTTAGATTTCAGGTATTTTCAGCGTATCCAATCTTCACTGTCCGCAACCAACGGCGGACGACTCCTCTTCCGCCCGCCCCTGTCTCAGCTGTTTGTGCCCTTTATCTAGGTCTCGGGGCCGCCTCCAGCCCTCGAATCCGGTGGTGACCCACCGCCGCACTCCCTAAATCCCAAATCAACAACACACTCAAGAGGTCGCCGGAGCTTCCCATCGACGCAGCAAGCTGCTCCACCCCCAAATCCGCGTCACCGGGGAGGGATCCGGAATGATCCGCCGCAGCCGCCGCCGCCGCGGCACCTACCTGACTGACGACGACGACCTCCTCCGGGAAATCCTCCTACGCCTCCCGCCGCGGCCGTCCTCCCTCCCGCGCGCATCCGCCGTCTGCAAGCGCTGGCGGGGCCTCGTCACCGACCCAAAGTTCCTCCGCCGCTTCTATGCCCACCACCGGAAGCCGCCCCTCATCGGCGTCTTCAACGACCGCTACCCCGATAGGGTTGCGTTCAGGGCCGTCCTGGGCCGTCCCAACCGCATCCCTCCTCAGCGCTTCGACATGCGGCGCCACGGCGTCGAAACTGACTCCGGCTCCAGGACCCGACTGCTCGGGTGCCGCCACGCCCGCGTCCTCCTCATGGACCATGTGCACACAGAACTCGTTGTGTGCGCCCCTGTCACCGGCGAGCAGCGTCGGGTCCCTGTTCCCCCGGACCTCGTGAGGGGCTTCCTCAACGGCGCGGTGCTCTGTGCTGCAGGCGATCTTGGCCATGTGCACGGCGACTGCCACTCGAGCCCCTTCAAAGTGGTCTCGGTGTCAAGAAAGGATAATCGACCGACCGCCCGTGTTTAGTCCTCAGAGACTGCCACATGGGGCAATCTCATAACGACAACAGATCGATGTGAGCTTGTTGCTGCTAATCCTGGGATCCTTGTTGGTGATGCTCTTTACTGGTCACCTAGATCTGTGGGTCCTGGTGGTCTCACTGACGACATAATAAAGTTTGATTTGGGTAGACAGATCCTTGCTGTCATCAAAGGGCCTCCTGGTTTCAATGAATCCTGCAGCCATCAGATCATCCATACAGAGGATGGTGTTGTTGGTCTTGCCATATTGTCACGGAGTGGACTTGAAATATGGCAGAGGAAGGTCAGCTGTCATGGTGCTGCCACATGGTTGCTGCAGAAGACTGTTGAAATGTATATTATTCTTGGGATAGCTCCTCAAAATGAAGGATCTCGCGGAGCGATGGAACTACTAGGGTACGACGAGGATAATGGTGTACTGTTTTTATATGCGGCCGCCTATGTCTACATGGTTCAACTGATGTCAATGCAATCCAATGAACTTCATCTAAGCAACTCTACCAATAAGTGTCATCCTTTCACATGTTTCTATGCACCAGGTGATTGCTCTTCTTTAGTCCTTGTATGGTGGTAGTAAACAAATCGGGTAATATTTTATATATGGTTGATGGATCATGGAATACCTTTTTGTGCTTTATCAACAGAAACTTGTAGCTATAAATTTTCTACTCTAAATACCAAACTACTTCCTCCGTTTCTAAATATAAGTCTTTTTAGACATTTCAAATGGACTACAACATACGGATGTATGTAGACATTTTAGAGTGTAGATTCACTCATTTTACTCTGTATGTAGTCACTTGTTGGAATCTCTAAAAAGACTTATATTTAGGAACGGAGGGAGTAAATGACAAAATGTGTAACTCATTGTTTTGCTTGGGAGTTGGGACCTCAAAGCTAGTAATATTCACTTGTCAAATACTACCTGTTTTGATTTCGCTATTAAAGTTATCTCAATAATAATAATAAATTTCCTTCAATGTATACTGTCAGAAATAATTGTTTTTTGGTCACTTGTTACCCTGCTGGAAGTGACTAGTACACTTATACCACGCAATATAAACTGAATGTTTTTAAAGCTGAACACAAAAATCACTATTGTTGCTGGAATTCAAAAGTGTGGGTGTGTTTTTATTTTTGTATGCTTGATATGTGAGATAAAATTCAAGGCAGTCTTTTTTTCTCTCATGAGCTAAAGGTTTCATTATGAGGTAGCGGAAACTAATGTTTTCAGAAATGCTCTTTGCATTGTAAGACAGATGTGACTTTCTTTATATATTGTTAGCATCAAAAGTGGGTTATAACAGATATATGAAAATTGAGTTATTTTTGTCGTTTTATCTGTGTGATAACCGATTCATTGTTACCTTCTCTTGTCCATATATTTTCCCCTCATAGCTTTCATTAATTGACTGCCTTATTATGCTTCTGGGTGTAGCCATTCCTGGTGGACGCAATGGACCTGAAATGCTGCAAGATACGTAGGATGATTGTCTGGTACTCTGGTTTCAGGTGCTAATGTGCTGGGATGGTTCAACAGGTAAGAGCATCTTGAAATCAAATTGAAATGATAATGTGAAGATATAGTTTGTGAGATCTGGATGTTTGATTTTTGTATGGAAAATATCTGGCTGCCAATGTGGGCACTCTGCAACCATAAACTATTGCCCATTTGGCTATAGGATTCGTGCATGTTAATAGCACATACTGCAAACAAAATGATAGTGATGCCTAGGCAAAATGATAGCCAGATGTTGCATATGGTGTTGTGTGGTGTTTATATTACTTGCATGTGGCTATATGGCCATGCTTAGAGTTCTCCCTTGGTTTAGCTGTTCCAGAGTAGTAGCATTCAACTATCCCACCTTACTAAAGTACAATGTCAAAAGGCTTGAGTGATTTACTCGGTTGTGATGTATAATCCCAGGAGATACAGCGAGGGGGAACGATATATGTTAAATTTTGTGAGTTCGCACATGCATGTAGTTCACAGCCCATTTTTAATCACGTACTCCCTCTATAAACTAATATAAGATCTTTTAGATCACTACTTTTGTGAGACCGTTAGTAGTGATCTAAAAGATCTTATATTAGTTTACAAAGGGATTTTGTCGCATAGGTTCTATTAGGTTTGGTCTATATTTGTACTCCCTCCGTCCGGAAATACTTGTCATCAAAATGGATAAAAAGGGATGTATCTAGATGTATTTTAGTTTTAAATACATCTTCTTTTATCCATTTTGATGACAAGTATTTTCGGACGGAGGGAGTATCTACTAACGGACTGGCAATTCTGTTTTTTACAGGTGAAGTAACTATGGGGTGCTGCTGCTGTTCTCACAAGTCTATCGCGTTGCATCAATGTGGTCGGCAGTGTATATATATATGTTATCTGGAAGAACTTAATGAACAACTATGTTCATAATGTAACAAAGATGCTTTTTAACTAATACCTAATCGAGGGAAGTTCAGCTTAGTCAGATTCCGTTCTATTCTCATTTTACACGGTTGTGGTCGGTAGCTCTGCTCTTCAGCTAGGCCCAGGGGAGGTTTGGGGTGCATTTCTGATTCGGTCATCCACACACATAAGATCCATATTTCTATGCACAACAAAAAAACGTATGGATGTTGACATGTTGTATTACAAAAGAAACTTCCGGGAAAAACAACCGTTTATCTGCTGGTATAATAAAAGTAGTAATTACAGGAAACTGGAAAACAACAACTAGAAGGGTATAGAGGAGGACGTCCCCCCCCCTCCCCCACCTGCCCCG